CCGCTATGGTCCCTTCCTCCTGTGACACCAACACCTCCTGGAAGTGACGCGTATGCAACACAATGGTGTTTCATACAGTAGAAGGGACACAATCATGATATGACGGTAGATTTTTCGCTTCCCTTCCTCATCCTCCCTTCCTCTCTCCACTGCCCTCCAGCTGCCACTGCAGCACCATGTGGAATGAACGGAAGTGTGCTAAGCAGGTGTTTATATAGCCCTAAGAGTGTTATCACAACTATCCTGCTACAAAACATTGATATCTCAAATCCTGTAAGCTACCCGATTTGTTAGCGGTTTGTTTATCCCATGAGCTTCCTTCTCACTCACTTCATTTTGCGGACGGACACACATACATACACACACACACACACACACACACACATACAGATACACAAACCGACACACAAAGTTAGCGCTTTATATAATAGAAGGATATTTCTTTGTTACTGGGACAAGTCACTAAACAATGCGAAGTTACCATTTGTTATACCCAAAACTAAGGAGAGCGGTGCCAATAAAAAAATAAAAGTCTGGGGGATTTTCGCCGCTCTAAGTATTCTTCCTGCCCCGAATAAGCTGTTAGAGAAATTTACCAAAGAGCATTTGCTATCATCATTTCTGCATCATGGCTCATAGTCAAGAATTACATACTGCTCGAACGACGCGGTTTTGTTCCAGGGCGTCTACCTGCACTCAGTTAATTGACTGCACGTATGACTGGATTTTGCTTACCTCTGTTTGTAAGGTTGACGTGGTTTACTAAGACGTCACAAAGGCTTTTGATACTGTTTCTCACTCCAGTCTTTTAATGGAACTTGATAGCATTGGCGTTAGAGGGAGATCTTTGGACTGGTTCAAATCGTATCTTGACGATCGGGAAATGGTTAAACATATATCAGATTCCATTTTACGTCCCAGGAAATGTCCAGCAGCGGACTCCCTTCGTATAGCACCCTGTTCACCTACAGTCGACAATTGAGGTGGCCTATCATACTCGGGACCACACGGGGTATATCCACGCGACCACATAGATGTGTTGTTTCTGGACTCTCCGTGAACTCTTCTACACAATGTATGCGTTAGGGGGGCGGGGGGGGGAACCCTCCTGTAAAAGCCATCCAAGTAGTAAGGTGGGGGTCTTCTTCTTCTGATCGTCGTCTTCACCGAGCCGCCGCCTGTCGTCACTCTGGGAGTGACGAGAGACACCTTCCTTTCACCTCTCCCATCCCTAATATCAACCCGCTCAACCTCTCGCTCCTCTGGTGTGAGAGTCTGTATTGTGTTCTATATTATTCCTAATAAATATTCCTAACACTCCCTAGTGTCCACTCCAAGGGGAAACTAGGACCATCCAACCCCTCACCCGTCAGGTCGCTAGTGAATCCTGACACCGCCGGCTTCCGAGGAGAACCTCGTTGACTCCCGGTGTGAGATACTAAGGGGGACGGTCCGCTACTTGGGGGCCAAGCCAACTTGGAGCAAGGACGTGAGTTAGGAGCGAGGACAGTTAGTGGGATCGAGATCGAACTCCGACTAGGTTACAGTCGTGACTTTCGATCAAGGAGAACTTGAGAGTCGAACTCCGGTGTAAGCCGTGACTTCGACGGTGAATTGAGAGTAAAAGATTCGATTGATAGTAGATAGGATCGAACTCCGACTGGATATTACTGTCGTGATTTTCGATCGAGTAGAACTTGAGTGTCGAACTCCGGTGTGAGCCGTGATTTCGACAGTGTATTGAGAGTAAAAAAGAATCGATTGATAGTAGCAATAACTGCGATTACTGTTCTTGACGAGGTATAGGTTCGTTCTTTGACTGCAATTTGAGTTAAACGCTTTTCGAACTCCGGTGGTGTACAGTATTCGCCGTTCGAAAATTCACCGCGATAACAGTGATCCTCGTTAATTTCCGTGAATTCGTAATAACTTCGTATAGCACACGCTTATGCCGGGACTACGCCGCTACACACAAAGAAGGGCCTCAAAACTTACCCCAGAATGCGCCACGTACTCAATCTCATCCACTACATTGTGAGATTAGATGAATGTTATTTTCCGAATTCTTAGATCTTCATTTCGTTTTCAAGCGCTTACTAGCTTTACGTGTTCCCTCTGCTCTCAATATCCCATCCTCTGTATATCAAGTGGAATCTTTGAACAGTTCTCAGCAGGCATAGTGGGCCTATTATGTGACATTTTCCATTTTCAGAGGAGATGTTTTGCAGAAAGCTGTGAAGATAGCGAACAATTTCCTTCACTGTCGTAGACTACGGTCACTTGTCTGTAAGGATTATATGGAAACCTTGGTCGCAGGTGAGCGTTTCTTCCGTGGTGTGACCCCAAACATCCCCTTATCATGCCCTTGTGGGGGCCCGGCTTGATGTAGGCTGACAAGGTCCACATTTTATAGTTAGGAGGATGCTGGTGTGAGAAGGAGCTGTAAGGAGTGCAAAGATTATTTCGCTTCAGCGTTGTGCTAGACGGGATGGGATTCTGTCTGTAGGAGATTGATGTGGGAAACTCGGGGGGTCGCAAGGGTAGCATGGTGCGCTTCGGCGTGGGGGGTGGTGGGCCTCCGAGAGGCACATGGGCCTCCTCGGTCAGTTGCGCATGGGTGGAATGTTCAGGGATGTTGGTTCGTTTGGATTGTCGCATGAAGAAACTCGCAGACCTGAAGTATCGGAGAGGCTCGCCGATTAGCATGGCGTCTTGGGGCCTGGAAAGAGTTGCGGTATTCGAACGATATGGAGGTTACTTCCGGGCGGGCAGTTGAAACTTTGGTTTTCACCGTTTTCAGCATTCCCCTATATCCCACGATTACTGCCCCAAAATCTCAAAGTTTCATTTTTCGTCGAAACTTTGTCTATTGGGGTAATTCGATGCCCTGATTACGAATATGACATTCATTTTTGATGCTGGTGTCATTTGGCGCCATTTGGCGCCGTTTGGCGCCAATTTGGCGCCACGGCTGTTTTCACCAAATCTGCTGAAACTTCGTCATTTGGGGTTATTTGGGGTCCTGATTGCGAAAACGATTCTTGAGCGCGCGGGGTGGGTGGTAGTGCTGCGGGGCGCACATGTTGGCGCGCGATATTGGCGGGCAAGTTTGGGGCGCGCCAGTGTTGTCTCACACAAGTCTGCGCTGAATTTCGGTCATTTGCTGGTGTGGGGTTTGTTTGGTCTGTGGGTTCGGCTGGTGGACGGTATTGATGGACATTCATTTTTGATGCTGGTGTCATTTGGCGCCATTTGGCGCCGTTTGGCGCTAATTTGGCGCTACGGCTGTTTTCACCAAAACTGCTGAAACTTCGTCATTTGGGGTTATTTGAGGTCCTGATTGCAAGAACGAATGTTATATTCGTGATGAGGACGCCAAATAACCCCTATACACACGTTTTCAGCGGATTTGGTGGAAACAGCCGTGGCGCCAAACAGGCGCCAAACGGCGCTAAATGGCGCCAGCACTAAAACGGGTGTCGTTTTCGTAATCAGGACCCCAAATAACCCCAAATGACGAAGTTTCAGCAGATTTGGTGAAAACAGCTGTGGCGCCAAATTGGCGCCAAACGGCGCCAAATGGCGCCAAATGACACCAGCATCAAAATGAATGTCATATTCGTAATCAGGGCGCAGTCGGAATTTACCCTAAGAATACGAGTTTCAGCAGAATTGCGTTGAAAACAGCCTGTACGCCAATTGGAGCAAAGCGCAAATGGCGCCAGCGCTAAAACGGGCGTAGACAGGGGAACGGGTGTCGTTTTCGTAATCAGGACCCCAAATAACCCCAAATGACGAAGTTTCAGCAGATTTGGTGAAAACAGCCGTGGCGCCAAATTGGCGCCAAACGGCGCCAAATGGCGCCAAATGACACCAGCATCAAAAATGAATGTCATATTCGTAATCAGGGCATCGAATTACCCCAATAGACAAAGTTTCGACGAAAAATGAAACTTTGAGATTTTGGGGCAGTAATCGTGGGATATAGGGGAATGCTGAAAACGGTGAAAACCAAAGTTTCAACTGGGGAAGTAATGCATATCATTCGATAGCATTTTTCACGGGAAGCTAACGGGGCACATTTCAGGTCTGCGAGTTCATCTGGAAATGCAAAAAATCTGAACATTCCACAAGGGCATGACGAGGAGGCATGTTTGGGGCCACACCACGGAAGGAAACGCTCACCTTGCGACCAAGTTTTCCATATAATCCTTACAGACAAGTGACCGTAGTCTACGACAGTGAAGGAAATTGTTCGCTATCTTCACAGCTTTCTGCAAAACATGTCCTCTGAAAATGGAAAATGTCACATAATAGGCCCACTATGCCTGCTGAGAACTGTTCAAAGATTCCACTTGATATACAGAGGATGGGATATTGAGAGCAGAGGGAACACGTAAAGCTAGTAAGCGCTTGAAAACGAAATGAAGATCTAAGAATTCGGAAAATAACATCACATGCGAGCAACTACTTTTTGAGATGAAAATCGAGTGCATGGCGCATTCCGAAATCAAGCTTTCTGAAAATATTTTAGCACCATCTTGTAGCGCTTGAAGAGCTGAGTTCAACGGTGTTTTCCGTTTCTGGAATACTTCACTCTGACCCGACTTATAACGAATTCACGAAATTAACGAGGATTCGCGTTATTCGCGTGAATTTTCGATTTCAAACGGCGAGTACTGTAGTACAGCCGAGAAGTTTCGACTGTCCGCGAATATAGACGATTGTAAGGTGGACTAGGATCGATACGACATATTTCGACTAGTGGGTGAGTCGTGATCCTAGATCGAGAAAAGGTTGGTGTCGAACTCCGGATAAGCCGTGACTTCGACTTTGAACTAGTGGTCGGGAGTGATTGATAGCAACTGTGGAATTCGGGAGGGCGCGAAGCCTGCAGTTTTCTTCCAGGTTGGTGTAAGCCTATCATAATTCTTTCGACCACACCTATTTGATTTTGACCAATTATTATGAGAATTAATTATTTGTATGGATGGTATATCATGACCGGGATTTTCGATGGATGGTTCAAACGCTATAGTCAGAGTCAATCTGTTCGTGGAACGGTGATGGCTCGGCTACACAGTTGGAAGTTCTTGTGGAAAAAAGATTTATTTTTCCAGGAACGAGAAATGGCGCTCTCTTTACATGAAGATGGATTACTGCGCACGCCGGTCGACGATGAAGAAATGTTCGACAAGGATGTGAGTGAGATTTCCTTGAAGGGTTTTGATAGATTATCAAGTAAGTTGCTCAGCCAGGTGGCTACCGTAGGGGTCACTTGTAACAATGAGTTAGCAAAATCGATGCGCACTGATGACCCCAGACGGGACAGTGTGGCAGCGTAAGTTAGAGAGCAAGTAGTGTTTGTTAAAGAAATAGCGAAGTAACACTCTCCGAAATAAGCGAGCTGAGTAGGCCTAAAGTTGCAGAACGCGTTTTTGATCTCTTGAGAGGAGCAAATCAAATCAACAGCGTAAGTCAGCTGCAAGAGCACATAAAAAAATGTGCGGCATTGACTAAAATGTTAGAAGAATCGCTGGCGGAATTTTTGCACTGCCACACGGACTCGGGAAGTAGATGGAAGAGCAAAGGTCTTGTCCACAGCCTTGAGTGTAGAGAGGCAGACTTCCGACGAGCTGCGTCTGCAACTAATGCAAAAGGATTTACAGATCGAAGCAACTGCGCCAAGAGGTGGAAGAGCTGGGGCAACGTAAGGCAAATGCCCCCATGGATCATGATAACAGCGCCGAAGCAGCTCAGGGTGAGTCCAATTCAATGAGACAACATGATTCAATGGAAAAACATCATGTTATTGGTCAACCATTACAGAGACACTCCTCAAGGATCTGGACGCCATCGCACCGGCAGTGTTACGAGACTATGCGGAAAGGAGACTTTGAGCAATGTCACGAAATGCGACAATCATCGGCCATAGGTGAGGCGAACGCACCATGTCATTACCAGAAGTGCAGCCTTTCTGGTAGGCCAGGCAAATATGCTTAAAAGTTTGTGAATCCTTGACGATGAAGTATCCCCAAGGAAAAGTGGAGGGACTCTAACAGCGTGCTTATTTCTCTAATAATTCCAGTTTCCTCAGAAAAAATGCGCTGACGGTATTCGAGACTTTGCCAAGAGAGATACGTGAAGGTACGTACGATGGGGTGATCGAGGCAATGAAAGCTAGAATGCGCATAGATGGGAATAGTCAACGCGTTAAAGCCCTAGCTAATCTGCGCTTACTAGCGTTGAAACCTGGTCAGCCGCTTAGCGAATTCTGCTTTGCCTTAGAGGGCCTAGCGAATAGGGCATACCCAGACATGCCACCTGAAGCAACCTCGTTGCAGAAGGCCGAGATTCTATGTAGGCAGCTAGCTAACTGGGAGGGAAGTTACTGCCTTACTGAGGCATTGGAGACCAGTAAGTGTGAAGAGGCTTATGAAAAAGTAAAGGAGGCAGCCCTAAGGTTAGAGAGAAGCCTAAAAACAGCCGAAGAGTGCAGACGGTTAGATCAAAGAAGAAGTGAAATTAGGCACGGGCAACTTACCTTTAGACGAGGTGAACCGATCGACGACAGAAGCCCAAAAAGTAGCCCGAGAAGCGACCCGGAAAAAGCATCTAAACCTACGATAGGACACAGACCGCAAACCGCGCCCAATTTTCAAAAGAAAAAACGGGAGAATGGTTCACCAAGGTGCTATAACTGCGGTAACATGGGGCATCTAGCCAAAGATTGTCGTGATAGACTTGGCAGGCAACAAAGTACCCCATCAACAGTGAGTGCTCAGCAGAGGCCTAATGCAGCCTACGCCTCCCTAGTAGAAAAGTGGGTGTGCACATCGTTTCGGGTACCTGAGTCGGAAACAGTGAGTTTGGGGACAAGCCGCTGGCAGGTATAATGCTATGTGGTATCGAAGCAACGGCGCTATTAGATACAGGCTCCCAAACGACCATCATTCCAGTGAAACTGTTAAAGAAAGCGATAGATAAAGGTATTGATCTGGACGAACACATTGAGCGCATACCCGGACCGAATACCAAAGTGCGAGACGCTTCAGGGAAATGTAATGGAATTTCTGGACACTATCCGGGTATCAATAATACTAGAAGGTCAAGTAGAAATGGTATCGGCTTTTGTGGGAAGAACTCCAGACGAGGTGGTGATTTTGGGCACCAATGCTCTAGAGTTGTATAACCTAAGGCTGTTGAAGATCCCTGACACCAAAAGTGAGCAGTTGACCAGCAAGCACAAATCCAAGTGTAGCCGCCAGAGTCAAAAACAGGACTTATGTTCCGTCCAAAGCGGTAGGCATGCTAAAGTTGACATGTTCACGGGTTTCTGCAGTAGATACGCCACTCCTCTGCTCTAGTCACCCATTCATACCGGATGGTATTTGCTGTTCGACAGAGAGAAATGAGGTCAGCATGCCCACTCGAATGAAAGGAGAACTAGTAGGTGAGTGGGAGGATAACGCTTGGATTAAGCCAAGGTATATCGAGCCTGACAGGAATATGCTGGATCTGGATAGACCTAGAGTGGCTTCTTCCGAGAGTCGGAATGATAGGCTAATGAAAATTATCCTAGACCAAAATCCAATACCTGATAAAGCAGCAGCGTTGTTGAAGGAATTTAACGATGTGTTTGCTGTAACCGACGCAGAGTTGACGCAAACTGATCTAGTGGTCCACGAGATTGACACAGGGGATCATAAGCCCATAAGACAAAAAACTAGGCCTGTTCCCATAGCAGCACGCAAGGAATTCAAAGAAACTATCAAAGATCTGGTAGGAAGAGGCATAGTTGAAAGGAGTTCCTCTGATTGGGCGTCTCCGGTGGTTTTGGTAAGGAAGAAAGATGGCACTCTGAGAGTATGCATCGACTATAGAGAGCTGAATAAGGTGATTCGGCAAGATTCGTACCCCCTACCAAAAATTGATACCGTGCTACAATGTCTCGCTGGGAAGAAAGGTGTTCTCTACGATGGATCTCGCCTCCGGATATTGGCAAATACGTCTGTCCGAAGATGCAAAACGGAAAAGTGCGTTCACAACGAGTGAGGGCTTGTTCCAGTTCACGGTACTGCCTTTTGGTCTATCAACGAGCCCAGCAGTTTTCCAAAGAATGATGGACATGGTTCTAAAAGGTTTGGAGCTAGAAGACGAAGTTTTCGTGTACATTGATGACATCCTAGTAGCCACAGAGTCAATAGAGCGACATTACGTAGTTTTGCGGAAAGTGTTTGAGGCGCTACGTAAAGCAAACTTGCGGCTAAAGCCACAAAAATGTACCTTCTTCCGAGAAAGTGTGTCGTTCCTCGGACATTACATCGACAAAGACGGAGTGAGGACGGACCCAGAGAAGATACGCAAGATCGTGGAGTATCCGTTACCCACAAGTGCCGCGGAGCTGAGGACATTCTTGGGGATGGCCTCTTATTACAGAAAGTTCATAGCGGGTTTCGCAAAAATGACCTGAAGCTGGACCCCTCAACTTAATCAGCGTTTCCAGGATCTCAAAAAAGCTCTAGCAAGTGCGCCCGTGCCTTGCGCAACCTAATGTTCCAGCAGCTGAGAACGGCAGTAGGCCATTCATAATTTATACTGACGCATCTGGTGAAGGGCTTGGAGCGGTGCTTTGCCAGGAGGGAGACGACCGATTTCTCCACCCTATAATGTTCGCGTCAAAGGGCTTGTCAAAAGCAGAAAAGAATTACCACATCACTGACCTTGAAGCGCTCGCCTTAGTATTTGCGCTAAAGAAGTTTCATTTTTTCGTGTACGGGTTGCGGACGATAGTTCGCACTGATCATCAACCTTTGACGTGTTTATTCAAAAGGACGAATGTGTCCGCACGCGTTCTAAGATGGGCCTTGGAAGTTCAAAAGTATAAGCTGGAGATTGAGTATGTCTCGGGCAAAGCCAACGCAGTGGCTGATGCACTATCGAGGAGTCGC